GCAGGTCTGGGAAGGGGAATGACAACACCTTGCTGTCACCACAAATGCCAACAGCTCCAAAAAGCTCACACCACACTGAGAAACCAAGGAGGCAGAAACACACAGGCCTAGGGCTGCTGGAGCTGGGCTGGCACTCAGGAATAAGCAGGCTGGTGTGCACTCCAGGCTTGCCTGACAAGACAGCTGATTGCCAGCCTGCAGGCTCAGAACCAGCCCAGGGGCTCACACAGACTCCCGGGCACACCCAACCTTCAGCAGCAGCACACAGGTAAGTGGGAGATGCCCCACTCTGCTTGCCAATTTAAACAAATAAAGATGGGAAGTTTCTGGCAGAACTGGCTGCTCCAGAATCCCAGAGTGTTCTCTGAACAAGAACCAGCCCTGCTCAGCCTCACTGAGCACACAGAGCTCCTCACACGCTGCCAGGCAGTGCTGCAGCTCCATCTAGCAGGGAATCACAACATTCCAAGCAAAGGCAGCCACCTGGAACTCTCTTCTTTAAGGTTCAGAGGCCCAATGCCACTGCAGCTCTCCTTTGTTTTCAATTCATTGGCCATAAGAGTCAGCAGAGCACAAATTCACTGCACAGAAGCACAGCAGCAATAAGGACTGGCGTGGAAAAAAACATCTTTGCTCTGACCCAGCAAAGATGGCATAAAGAGAGAAACTGAAGTGAAAAATAAAAACTATACAAGCGAAAAAGACATGCCAAGAAGGGAAGAAGCAAGCACTCCTTTTCCATGCTGCTGTGAGGATGTTAAAGATTCTGTTTAACTTGTACCTTATCTTCTGTGCCATGGAGAGGTGAGCACAGCAAGTAAAGTCCGTAATAGGCCAGCTCAGGAATGTATTTGGCTTTATCAACATCCCTAAGGAAAGAAGGCAAAGAGATGTGTTCACCTCTCATCAGAGTAACTGTGACTATTAAAAGAACTCATTGACTGCAAAACATTCAATAATCACAAGATGCTGTTTGCTGTCAGCACGTGGAACACATTCCAATTATCTTCATAAGAGAATTTACCACTTTAATTTTTATATAAACAGGACAACAACACAAGCACTGAGGGCTTTGCTTGTTCAGACCATCAAATAAACACTAAGAATTATTAAGAATTATTTGCTCACATGGCTGCTGAAAACTTGAACTCGTGGAGCACTGGCTCAAAGCTGGTCATCTCAACAAAGATCTGCAAGGGAAGAGAGCCAAGCTGAGCTCAGCCCCCTGAGAGGAGGGTGTGCGGGGCTCTGGGATGTCTGGGGTCACACCAGTGGGTTTAACTTTCAAACACCTCCCTTAAAGAACAAAAGCTGAGCCCAAAGCCCAGAAGGTCCCCCCCGGAACAAGTGGGGGCTCCCCTGGATCCCTGGAAGTGTCCAAGGCCAGGTTGGATAGGGCTTGGAGCAACCTGGGATAGTGGAAGGTGTCCCTGCCCAGAGAAAGGGGTGGAACAGGATGAAATTTAAGGTCCCTTCCAGCCCAAACCCTTCTGATTCCATGAACAGAACACTTGCAAGTGCTCAGCACGAGAGGCAGACACAGAGCAGGCACCCTGCTCGCAATTTCCCTAACTCCCATCAGGGACCAGGTGACGGAAGGCAGGGCTGCCACCTCCTCCATATGGAGTGCTCTGCATCCCCAAAAAGTCTGTGCTAGGGGACACAAGGCTCATCAAGCTGGAGCTTTCTTACCTGCACGCAGTTCTGCATGCACTGAGGCCTTTCTTTTAGGGAGAACTTGGGCAGAAGTCTTAGGAAGTTTTTCAAAACAAGGAAGATGGCATTGCGGACTTGGAGGAGACCTTCTGATGAGATGTAAACATTCTCATCATCCTCTTCCCTCTCCTCTTCCAACATCTCTTCTATCTATATTGGCAGAAAAGAGAAACAGCTTGCCAACAATTTGCTTATTACTAGGGATTTGTGTCTGAAGAGGCTGCACAGACATCTTACACTGGAGTTGTCACTCCTGCACTGTTTCCCTTTCTTTCTGTTCCTTCTGGCATTGGGCTGAGAGCTCTGAGCGTGTGCCTTCTTCCTTTTCCTCAGCTCTTGAGGCCAGCATTTTGTCAGGGTGTGAAGACATTTATCAAACATCACTTCGTGGAACACCTGGTTGGCTATGCTGCCTGCCCAGAAAAGACAAACATCAGTCCTCTTCCAGGCAAAATACAGAGAACATCAAACCATCTGGGCATCATGTCCCATCCCTGGAAGTGTTCAGTGCCAGGCTGGAGCAACCTGGTCAAGTGGAAAGTGTCCTTGCCCATGGAATGAGCTTTAAGGTCCCTCCATCCCAAATCAGTTTGTGGTTCTATGATCTCTCCACAGATGTCCCAGAGCCTAAGAAAGTGCAAGAGAATAATACAGCTGCTGGAAGTGCACCAGGCTGATGCACCATCAGCAGTGACACATTCCAGCAGGATCACCAGCTGAATGGCCCCTTCCAGCTGCACCAGAGATCAGCAAAACTTCAGGGCATGCTGGAATACAAAGGGATCCAGCTGTGAACTAACCTGCTGGAAACACTCAGCTGCTGGTTATTTTAAACTGCTATTTTTGTTTGCACAAACAAACCCATCCAAATGTGCTGCACAGTGAAATGCTCCCCACTACAGAGCAGGAACTGGAATAAGCTCCTGCTTTGACTGTCAAAGCAGAGGGACCTGTGTGGTTCCAGAGGAGTGCAGGCTCCTCTGTCACCTTGTCACAGTACACAGACCCGCACTGAGGCCACCAAACCCCTCTGTGACAGGAGGCCAGGCTGCCACCAGCCCGTGACACCGCTCAGCATGCTCAGCTTGGCCCCCGAGGATTTCGGGGCCATCAAGCCAGCACCACCACTTGTGCCACCTGGAATTGTCACAAACCCAGCCCTGCCCGACCCGTGCTGCCCCCAGCCATGAAGAGGAACATTCCAAGGCTCACCTGGGATCTCCAGCAGCAGCAGGTAGAGCCCAGCTGAGTGCAGAGCAAACAGCCTCTGCTGCACGTTGGCTCTTTTGTTCTGGCCCACGTGCACAAAGTGATGCAGCACGGCCACCAGGGCCTGGTGGGACAGGCTGCTCTCAGCAAACAAGGTCCAGACATTCTGAGGCAAAACAGGAATAGTGAGGAACCCCATAATAACATGGATGTCCAAAACTAGCCATTATTTAGATTTTAACAGGTGCCACCATGACAAACTCCCTATGTATTATATGCTTCAAAAAGTATCATACGTTATAATTATTAATATTTATATTATATCAATTACATTGATTAATAATTAAGTCAATTAATTAAGGAAAAAAATTTTTACTGAAAGAATAATAAAGCACTGTCTTCCCAGGGAGGTGGTGGAATCACCATCGCTGGATGTGTTAAAAAAAGACTGGACTTGGTGCTATAGTCTAGTTGAGGTGTTAGGGCATAGGTTGGACTTGATGATCTTAGAGGTCTCTTCCAACCTCATTATTCTGTGATTTTATGATTAAAATTAATAATTTTTAAATTGTATTGATTATTAGTAACTATAATAACTATATAGATACTTAATATTATGCTAAGTTATATTATTAAAATTTGGGAATATCTTCCTTCTGGAAGCACTCCAGCACACAGAGCTGGAGTTGTTCGGATCGTTTTTGAAGATATTGTGGATTTCAAGCCAAGAGAGTCGTGAAAAGGAGAAAGTGAGAGTGGCTGGCTCTGTGTTAGGTGATGTTGCCTCTCTGCTCACCTGGCCCCCGGCAGCAAAGGGCACCAGAGCGCTGTACAGGGAGGTGAAGGGGCTGAGCTCATCCGCCGTGATCTCCTCCACTATGCAGGGATCCAGAGGCTCGGTCTCCGTGAAATCCATATCCCACACCGCGTCCACCCATACTGGGAAAAGAAAACAAAAAGTGTCTGTAAGCGCCGGGGGTGGGATTTCCCCGAAACACGCGTTTGACCCAAAATAAGGCTCCAACATAAGCACGGACCACCCAAATCCAGCGCGCCAAGGGCAGCCGCTGCCAGCGCCAGGCACCTCCCGCTGCCTGGGGTCACCCGCAGCCCGGTGACCGGGGGAGAGCCACCGGGATCGGGACAGACACACCGGGACCGGGACAGAGACACCGGGAATGACACCGGGACCGGGACAGAGACACGGGGAATGACACTGGGATCGGGACAGAGACACCGGGACCGGGACAGAGACACCGGGACCGGGACAGAGACACCGGGACCGGGACACAGAGAATGACACCGGGATCGGGACACAGAGAATGACACCGGGACCGGGACAGAGACACCGGGACCGGGACAGAGACACCGGGACCGGAACAGAGACCCAGATGGGGACCAAAACCGAAACCGGGACCAAGGCAGGATGGGGAGGGCGACAGAGACCGATACCAAGACGGAGACGGACACCGGGAGGAGAGAGAGAGAGAAAGGGAGAGAGTCAGAGACCGGAACAGAGAGCGGGACCGGAACAGAGATCCGGACGGGGACCAGGACCGGGAAACAGAGAGACCGAGAGACACAGCGATTGAGACCGGAAAAGTGATCGGCAAACCGGCCCAGGGTTGGATACCATCCCCGCTCCTAGCGGCCCGCTCCAAAGCCCGGTCCCGCTCCTAACCACCCCCCCAGCCCCGCTCGGAGCGCCCGGCCCCGCTCCTGCCCCGCACCTGCGGCCAGGCCCGGCAGGCGCCACCCGCCGAGCGCGCTCCGCAGCCGCTCCGCCGCCATGGCGCCGCCGCCGCCGCCCGGTTTCGAACGCGCCAATGGCGGGCGCGGGGCGGCGCGGGCCAATGGGGGCGGCCGCCGCTGCCCCGGAAGGAGCGGGGCGGGCGCGGCCGGGCGGGGGTGCGCGGTGCGCGGTGCGCGGTGCGCGGGTCCCGCCGCCGCCGCCCCGCCGGCGCTGCCGCATTGCGGCCCCCCCGCTCCGCCGCTGCCGCCGCTCCGCCGCTGCCGCCGCCCCGGCCCCTTCCCCGGTGTCGCTGCCGCCGCCGCCGCCGCCTCCCCGGCCCCTTCCCCGGTGTCGCCGCCGCCGCCCCGCGCAGCCCCGCCCCGGCCGCGATCCGCCAGCGGGGCCGCGGGCTCAGCCCGCGCCGCATCCCGCCACCATGAGCTTCTTCGGGTTCGGGCAGAGCCCGGAGCTGGAACTGGTGCTGAGCGACGCCGAGAGCCGGCGGCGGGTGGAGCACAAGACGGAGGAAGGCAAGAAGGAGAAATACTTCCTCTTCTACGACGGCGAGACCGTGTCCGGGCGGGTGGTCCTCACCCTCAAGAACCCCAACAAGCGGCTGGAGCACCAGGGCATCAAAGTGGAGTTCATCGGGCAGATCGGTGAGCGGCGCGGCCTGCGGGCCCGGCTGTCCCTTCCCGGTGCCCGGATCCCGCTGGTGCGGGGGTCCAGGGCGGGTCACTGCATCCCACAGGTGCCAGGGGTCTGGGGAGCATTGCTGAACCCCTTGGTACTGAGATCCTGCGGTGCTCGGGATCCAGAGAGCATTACTGGTGCTGAGAGTCCGGGGAGCATCACTGCATCCCATGGTAACTCACTGGTACCAGGGAGCTGGGGGCATTGCTGTGCCCCATGGCACTGGGATCCCACTGGTATTGAGGGTCTGGGGGCATTGCTGTGCCCCATGGCACTGGGATCCCGCTGGTACCAGGGGTCTGAGGGCATTGCTGTGCCCCACAGTGCTGGGATCCCACTGGTACTGAGGGTCTGAGGGCATTGCTCTGCCCCACAGTGCTGGGATACCACTGATGGCATTGCTGTGCCCCATGGCACTGGGATCCCACTGGTACAGGGGTTCTGGGGGCATTGCTGTGCCCCATGGCCCTGGGATCCCGCTGGTACTGAGGGTCTGAGGGCATTGCTGTGCCCCATTGCACTGGGATCCCACTGGTACTGAGGGTCTGGGGGCATTGCTGTGCCCCATGGCACTGGGATCTCACTGGTACTGAGGGTCTGGGGGCATTGCTGTGCCCCATGGCACTGGGATCCCACTGGTACAGGGGTTCTGAGGGCATTGCTGTGCCCCATGGCACTGGGATCCCACTGGTACCAGGGATCTCAGGGCATTGCTGTGCCCCATGGCACTGGGATCCCTCTGGTACTGAGGGTCTGAGGGCATTGCTGTGCCCCATGGCACTGGGATCCCGCTGGTGTGGAGCAGGTTCTGCTCACTCCTGAGTGATGCCCGGCTGCACACAGCATTCCCACGGCTGCTGGACATTATTCTGCCCCCGAGCTGGGCAGCCTGGCCTGTTCTCCAGGCTTGAGCCCTGGCAGGAGGAAGGGCATTCCAGTCCTTTTCCAGGTCATTGTTCTCCTGTCCTAGTTTCTCGCTTTTGCTCGGTCACCAGTTTCAGCTGCGAGCTGGGCATGCTTCGGTTCCGTCCTGCAGCTGCAGGTCAGCCCGGACCTGCTGCCAGCCCAGCTGCCAGGCCCTGCTCCCCAGGCTGGCTGTTCTGCTCCAGGAGCTGCCTGGAGTCCTCCTGCTGATCCTCTTCGGGATGCTGAGGGTGCTGACGGGGTGGCTTTTGTCCTTATGTCCCTTTTACCTGCGTGGATCGCCTTTCCTGAGGCTCGCGGGCTCACCTTGGCTGATCCCACCTTCTACTCCACACGTCCCTGCACGGTTGGTCGGGTGACTAAAAGCTGTTCAAAACTTGTGGTTATCTGTGCATGTAACCAATTCAGGTTTAATATTTCCTGCTGTCCTAGGGGAAAGGCAGCTGCCACACCCACTCCTCCGTGGGAGCGGAGCTGTCCCTGCTCCACGGACATGCCTTGAGCCCCACAAGCCAAAATAAGTTCAGGATGTTCCTTCCCAGTGATGTGGCTGCATGTGAGGCCTCACATTTGTGGCTCTCTGTTAAACCACAAAATCACTGCTGTAACCAGGGGCCTGCAGCCTTTGCATTGCAAATCTTGTGGTGAGGGAACTTGAGCAGGAGATTTCCCACCCAACCCCATGCTGCTGATTGAGTTTTATTGGCTTTTCTTGTGCCTGACTCTGGTTTTTGGAAGGGAAGGGAGGTGTAGGTGAGGCTGTTCACCAGGAGCCAGGTTATGAGTTCCTATTGATACGGTTCCCAGTGGAAATTAAGCATGAACTTTGTTTCCTGCCCCACTCTCTCTGCTCTGCTGCCTTGCCTGCGACTCATTCCCTGTTTTGGAAGACTTCTGAGCCATGCCTGCATGGAATTACTGCTTTGTATGCACGTTCTTGCCCAAGCAGGGTGTGTTAGAGCTGCTGTGGCTGCACATCAGTCCTTATGCCCCTCAGGCCTTTTTGATAAATCACTGAAGTTTGTACCACTAATTGCACTTCTCAATGCTTTCCATCTTGTATTCTGACTTCTTGCTGCCATGGGGTCAGCGTGGAGGTGAGACAATTTAACAGGCAGGGGGACTGGGCTGTGAAGGAGGGATGTTTTGCAGGGAAGGTGCTCCAGAGCAGGTACCAGATGCCAGACTGAGGGTGCTGGGTCCTGCCTGCTCTCAGGTGAGCATGGAACCCATTTCAGATGGTTTCACCTCTGCTGGCTGTGGCCTGAGCAAGCCGCTGAAATGTTGGCAGGGTATGTTCTCAGTCTGGAAACCTTATAGCTCTGAAAACCTGAAATTACAGCTTATACCTGTTTGACAGGCTGGAGTGTGGGAAACATCACTCTGCTAAAGGCTTCAGGGTGCCAAACATGACCTTCTGAGGTAGCAGAGAAATCAATGCACTGACATCTGCCTCCCCTTGCTTTTTTGATTTGTGCCTCCTGCATCATGTGTCACGATGGTCTGGGCTGATTCCTCTATTTCTGTGGCTGGTTCTTCTTTTTCTGTTGGCACGTGGCTTCTCCCTGTCACATCAGCAAGCACTTTCCTCTCAGTGGACACACAAATTCAGTGCACAGACAGAGGCTTGGTTATTTATGTCACCTGCCCAGCCTAAAGGGCTTGGTGACATTTGCTGTCGTGCGTAAGTGAGGGGAGCTCTAGTGCCAGAATTTCCATTAGAGAGATAAGGTGAGCAAAGGGCTGTGAGACACAGGCATCACTTAAAGCTGAAATCTCATCGTGCAGCTCAAGGAGGGCTGAACTGCAGTTCCTGGGCACCTCTAATACATCTCAGAAGCCTCCTCTGCACAGTTTAGTGCTGACACTGAGCTTGGTGAGCGTGCTTGTGTGATGACTTAGGGTTTTGTTTCCTCATCTAAGCAGAAAGGCTTTGCCTTGCAGAAGGGCTGTGTGGGTGTCCTGTAGGCACAGGCTCACACACAGGGCTGGGAAGGGCAGGTTTCATTGATGGGTTTGGGTAATCCCAAGCTGCTCATGCAAATTGCAGAGTTGTAAGGGTTTTGTTGCTTTGTCTTGAGGCAGAAAATTTGGTGGAGGTGTGGAGGATTGCTTTCATCAAATGAGGAAACCTGTAGTTTCCTGCTGGTGTGGGAGGGCTGTGGGGAAAAGCGAGGCAGTGCTGGTCACTTGAGCTGGTTTGAGCAGTGCTTCCAGAGGTGAGAGCTCTTCCTTCACCATGCTCACATGGCCATTAATGTGTTATCCATGGGCTGGAGGAGCAGTGGATTCAGCTGCCTCCCCACACACAGGGTGGTTGTGCAGCAGGATCAACATTGCCATTTATTCCCTGCTGCAGCTCCAGGCCTCTCAAGCTCTTTGCTGTCCAAGGATAAGCAGGAGCAGTTGGAATCATCGTGTCCCCTTGGTTTTGCTCTGTCACTGTCTGTTCCAGACAAGCAGTGGTGGTTTCTCCTCACACTGGCAATGCCTTTAGCCTGGAATACAGTGCAGAAAATGATTGGAAAGGTTTGCATGAGCTACAAACTGTATTTAATATTGATTATAGACGACTCATGTCTCCCCAAGGCAAGTTCTTGATTTGTTGTAGTAAAGGAGGTTGTGTGGACCTTTTCCATCCTGTTTCAGGGAGGAAAGCTGTGGGCTGCACCTGGCTCTGATGGAGAGCAGGGAACAAGTGCAGTTCCCCTCTAGGTTCTGTGAACGGTGTTGAAGGAAGGAGTGACCTGGAGGAGAGAGTTGCTGAAAATCTCCTGTGTCACGTGGGGCTAAGCTTAACCTGGATTTCCATTTTCCTAGAGCTCTACTATGACCGAGGGAACCACCACGAGTTCGTGTCCCTGGTGAAGGACCTGGCCCGGCCTGGGGAGTTCACTCAATCACAAACATTTGACTTTGAGTTCACACACGTGGAGAAACCTTACGAGTCCTACACGGGGCAGAATGTGAAGCTACGGTGAGTCCCCTGCCCTGGCTGACCCCAGTTCTGCTCTAAGTGCTGATACTCACTCTGATGATGCAGAACTCCAAATTAATTTTGGGGCCTGAGTTGTAAAAAGCTGCCTCTGAGGTCTTTACTTTACAAGCATGAAGCAGGCTCTTCATGGAATTTGTTTTTCCCCTTTTGAGTGACAAGAGAAATCAGCCCCTTTTGAATCAAATACTTGCTAATTTATTTGATAATTCAAAAAATCAAAATAAACTGTTTGGTTTAGTCTCCAGTGAGGATATTTTTGCTGTAATCAGTCTTGTCAACTTTAATTGTGCTCTGTATGCAAACAGATGCTTTGCTTGTGCCTTGTTCATATGTTGAAATGATATTTCACATCAAGGCACTCAATTGACTCAAAATCCTTTCACTGCCTTCAAAGTGGGGGTTGGAAAAGGCTGAGCTCTGCTCTGGGAGGTGTGGCTGTGCAGCCTGATGTAATGTTGCAAAAGAGCAGTGGTTTTAACATGTGCAGGCTGCTCCTTGGATCCCCAAAACGGGGCTTAGGCAACTTGGGCTCACAAATGCTTGGAGGCTGAGAGGAGCCTGCTTTTCCATCTGAAAATTCCCATCTGCTTTTCCAGTGTGGGGTGTTGGCTGCTCCAGGGGCAGGTACACATAAAGAGATGGGGGCTTGTTTGCTGTGGGTTTATTTTGTTCAGACCTGGACTAAAAAAGAGCAATGTAACAGCAAATTACACGGGAAGAGAAGCTTCCTTGCTGTTCTGCTTCTTTGTGACAATTCTTTGGTTTCCTTTGGACATTCCCTGTTCTTGAAATGCTGGCCCTTCTCTCAGCTGTGCATGAGCTGAACTGAGCACCTCACCTTGCCAAGGAGCAAGTTCCAAGCTTCAGTGGGGAAAAGGAACTCCCTCAGTGGACCTGTTGAGTTGACACATTTTATTCGGATTGGCAATCAAATGCGTTTCAGCTCTTTGCATGGATCTGTGTAGTGAGGCTGCTTGGATAGCGCAGCCCCAGCCCCCCAGCCCTGTCCCTGCTGTGACCTGATGGCAGGGGACTGTCCCTGCAGGTATTTCCTCCGTGCCACCGTGAGCCGCAGGCTGAACGACGTGGTCAAGGAGATGGACATCGTTGTGCACACGCTGAGCACCTACCCCGAGCTCAACTCCTCCATCAAGATGGAAGTGGGCATCGAGGACTGCCTGCACATCGAGTTCGAGTACAACAAGTCCAAGTGAGTGGCTCAGGAGCAGCTGGGATCTCAGGGACCCACCTGCTGGAGGTTTCCTCAAAGGAATTCCATGTCCATGTGCTCCAGAGAGGCTGAGAGACAGCTCAGATCCTCCCTGATCCATGGGTTCCTCTCCTTTCCCCACACCTCTGGATCAAGGAGTGGGAAGCAATGGCTGTGGCTCACTGAGCCTGGAGCACAGCATGAAATTCTTGCTATAACTTCATATAGCCTCAGCCAGATCAGTATTTCCAGGTGTCTCCAAAATGCAATGTTTGCTCCTTTCCAGGCAATACAGCTGAAGTGGGAATTAACTCCAGCAAACAAGTTGGGAACTTTGAAAGTACTCTCAGTGCTTCTTTCCCAGCTGGTGCTGGCAAATCTCCCTGCACGTGGTGGTTGGTCAAAGGTTGGACTCAATCTCAGAGGTCTTTTCCAACCTAAATGATTCTGTGATTTAGGTTGGTTTAGTTGAGCTAAAATACTGAGTTTGGAGCCTTTGCTCTTACAGGGGTTTCTTGCAGATATTCAGCCTGAAGTGATGTTTTTAATTTATCTGCTTGTGTTAAATATTCTTGTGGGTTTCCAGAAGAGCAGAGGATGGAAATGAAGGGCTGGTTGCTGGTGGGAGTGGTTGGTTTGCCATCTGCTGGGGATGAGAGCAAAGTGCTTGCCCAGCAAGTTCCTGCACGTCAGCCCCAGCCCTGCTCTGCTGCACAGGGTTTGATCCTGGTGTCTCCTCCCCTCTCATGCCAGGTACCACTTAAAAGACGTGATTGTGGGGAAGATCTACTTCCTGCTGGTGCGGATCAAGATCAAGCACATGGAGATAGACATCATCAAGAGGGAGACGACGGGCACGGGGCCCAACGTGTACCACGAGAACGACACCATAGCCAAGTACGAGATCATGGATGGGGCACCTGTGAGAGGTGAGAGGGCACAGGGACCCCCAGGATTGCTCTCCTGGAGGATTTTGGGGTGGGAATAGGACTCTTGAAGTATCTTCTGTGTGCTCAGCATCCTGTTCCACTGCTGTGGGCTCAGAGCAGGGGATCGATCTGATCCCCTTCCTTCTCCAGTGTGATGAGGGGCAGCTAAGGCAGAATCAGTTGCAATGACTTAATTCTTTTGATGAAGCAGTGGCAGAACCAGCTATAAATTCACAGTTGGCATGGGCCACCATGCAGCTCAGAGCAGAGGTGGTGTTCTTGCTCTGTGCCAATCCTGTGCCACTGTTCCTTTGCCCAGCAGAGTCACCTGCTAGAGAAAATGTCACCTTACTCCTTTTTTCCTGCAGTGCTGTCTTGATGCAGGTCCCAAAAGAGTCCTGTGCTGTTAGAGTGGAGCTGGAATAGCTGTCAGCAAGGGCAGGATCTGGCTGAGGACCGTGCAGGCTGATTTCTGGAGGGAGTTGAGGTCTTCTAGCTCATGTTAGTCCACTTGTGGAAACGGTGACAAAAGTTGTGGCCGTGTGAGTTCGTGTTTTGCTGCTGCTGCTCTCCTGGTTTCTGTCTGCATCCTGTCTGTGCTGACAGCTTTGTGCCCTTTCCAGGGGAGTCCATTCCCATCAGGCTCTTTCTGGCTGGCTACGAGCTGACTCCAACCATGAGGGACATCAACAAGAAGTTCTCTGTGCGATATTACCTCAACCTGGTGCTGATCGATGAGGAGGAGAGACGCTACTTCAAACAGCAGGTGAGAAACAGAGCTGCTGTTCTCCTTGGACCTGTGTGTGACTGATTGAGATGCTTTTACAAGGACCTACTGGGAATTTGGGATTCATCACATGCAAGGATGATCTAAAAGAATGTTAGGTCAGGTGTGTGTGGTGAGGAGGAGTCTGGAAAGTGCCTGCCTGAGTTATCTTTTCTGCTCAGTGGTATTATCAGTGGCACTAGGACAGAGGTGCTGTGGATATCCTCTGTGTGCCCAGACCCCAGAGAGGACCTTCCTACCCAAATTTCAGGCAGGCTGCCCTGCCAGGTGTGTCATTATTGGACACGAAATGAGTACACAGAAGTTTGGTAAAAGCTTCTGTGTACTCCTTTAAAAGAGAAAAAGAGCAAATTTTATTTCTGACCTCTCAATGTATAGAATTCCAAAAGTGACAGTGGATTGGAGGATGAAATTGCCACCTCTCCAACCACACTGGTCAAACCAACAGTCCATCAATTCTCTCCTCCCACAAAGAAGAATGCAAAACAATCATTATGGTTTCACATAGATCCCACCAAATCCTAGCTGGGCTGCCTTCCTCATTGTTTCCACAGGGAATATTTCCTACTGGGGCAGGAGAGATATCCCAATGAATATTCAGGGTTAGTTCAGTCCCTTTGGGTAGCCCTGGGCTACCAATTTGAGTCCCACCATCCTGCAGAGTTTAAGTCAGCTGGGTGTGTCAAAGAAGAGGTGGTACCAACACAGACACATTCCATCTTCTGCAGTGAATCCAAGATTCAGGTTGAATAACCTGGCTGGGAATGCAAAACAAAGAAGAATGCAAAACAATCATTATTATGAGAACCCTAGGTGAAATATCTCATCAGAAGGCATAGAAAACTTTTAAAAAAACTTTAAAACTTTCAAAAGTGAAAGACGACTTAACACTTTTAAAAATCAGGGCAACACCAGGTGTGTCCCGGCTGTGGGTGGAACACTGAGCCTGGCTCACGCTGCGGGGCTGGGTGGGGCAGCAGAAGGTCTCAGCAGAAGGTCTCGGGAGCCCTGACAAGCCTTGCCTGTGTCCCCGCAGGAGGTGGTGCTGTGGAGGAAAGGGGACATCGTGAGGAAGAGCATGTCCCACCAAGCTGCCATCGCGTCGCAGCGCTTCGAGGGCACGTCCTCGCACGGCGAGGCCAAACCCCCCGGGCAGCCCGCCGAGAACAACGGCCGGCAGTGAGGCCGGGGGCGCCGGGAGCCCCCCAGCGCAGCGGCACCGAGAGGAGACCCTCAGAGACTTCACAGAAATAAACACCCGGTTTTGACTTCATTCCTTTCTTGGCGGGACGGGGCGGGAGGGCTCGGCCGGCTGGAGCTGGAGCTGGAGGTGCCACGGCGCTTCCCAACCCATCCATTCCTCCGGGGGCTGCCTGATCTCCTCTGTGCCCCCCGAGCCTCGGCCTGGCGGGGAAGGAGAGAGCAAGTGAAGGCCCGGGCTGCCGTGTGGAGGGTGCCCTGGGGCTCTGCAGGATGGATGTTTTTCTTGCCTTTCCGAAATCTTGCCTGAGGAAAACGGCCTGGTGATAAGCTGGATGCCAGAGGAGGGATCAGAGACTGTGGCGTGGCCTGCTGGAAATCTCCTGGTGGAAACCTTGTGGTGTCATCCCCTCGCTGCTTCCCCTTCTTCCTCTTCGTGCTGGCGTTGGATTCCTTGCCACAAGCAGTTGGATGCTGGAGGTGACCAAGCCCTGGGACTGCCCCCCAGCCACGTGGAGCAGCGTGCTGTGTCCCACCAGGAGCTGTGGCTGGCAGGAGGGAGATGTGGCCACAGGAGGAGGTGGCATGGGGTGGGCAGAGCGGTGACAGTCCCAGCGCTGCTGTGTGGGCAGCAAGTGGGGGCAGGAAGGCTCCTGGCCACGAGCTGTGCATTCCTCGTCTTGTCCCGAGATCCACACTCCGGCTGCTGCTCTGGTGCAGCTCCCAGGGAGGTGTAGAGAGCAGCTCTGGAGCTCTTGGGGGCTCTCCTGTGGATGGATTTACTGCCCTGCCCGTGTCTGTGTGCTTGGGGCAGAGCAGGCTGGGTGTGGGGATGGACAGCACTGTGGGGACACAAGGTGTGGTCTGGTTTGCTGCCTCGTGCCTGCGGGATGAGGGTTAGTGGGGACAGAAGGTGGATGCAGTTGTTGTGGGAGGCTCAAACAGGCCTGTGTGGGCTGCTGGAAGGAGCCAAGCAGCACCTGGAAGGGTGGCAGAGCTCTGATTCCAGAGACACATTCCTGAGGCCTGAGCTGAAGTCACCAGCGAGGTCTGAGAGCATGCAGTGAACTGAGAACCTGAATGTGGGTTTTCTTTTTTAAAATAAGCTGCTTTTAGCCTTCAGCTAAGTAGACTCATGAGAACATTCCCAGAAGGAAGTCACTCCTCCATTAAAAATCAGATGTGTATTTGATTGAATTTGGAGAATGTCCATCCTGTCCAGCTGCCCTTCACCAAGCAGGCGGTGAGACCTGCTACCCAAGGGAGAGACCAGCCTGCACTGAGTGCTGGGATATGAGTTCTGTCCAGTGGGATTTGTCTGGATTTCCCTGAGTTTGTGGCTCGCTAGTTTGTCCAGCTTCCTTTTGGCTCTGGAATCAAGCTCCTCTGTCCTACAGCTGAATGTAGAGCAGCTGGGAAATGGAAGTGTCTGCTTTGTTCAGTGCAGTGCTGGTGGAGGGAGCGGGGCTGGGGTGGGAAGGGGAGCTTTTTATGTAATGACAGCTGCTGTATTTCAGTGATAAATGTGTGTTTCTGCTTGCCAAAGTAAGTTATCTTTTCCTCACCACTGTAGGGTTGTGGTTTTTAGTAGAGCTGGCCAGTCTCGCTCTGTAGAGGACACTAATGCTCTCATCTCTGCTGAATGCTCGTGTCACCCCCTGGTTCTGCTGTGCCCCACTGGAGACGTGGCTTGCTTGTCCCCCCACGGGGAGCCTGTGCCATGGGCTGGGGCAAGAGCTCGTGCAGGCAACAATCTCCTTGTGCCAGCCCGAGGGCTGGGGGCCTCTGCCATGGCAAAGGACCCTGGTGCCACTCGGGACACTCCTCCCTCCCTCCCTCCAGGGGAGCTGGCTGTGCTGCAGCCAGGCACAATCCTCCTGGCACAAGTCAGGCTCCTTTGGGAGCTCTTGGGGATAGCAAACTGTTCTTGTATGGCTGAGCTGAGCACAGCAGTGCCCTTGCAATCTTCTTAAGCTTTCCTTCAGCTCCCTCCTTGCCTTTATTCCTTTATTCCCTTTATTCCCCTGGATTGTTGGTCATGTGGTAGGAAAGAAGTTCCCTGGATGGAGATGTCTGCATTCCAGGAGTGGTTTTTTTCCTGCCTGACTGGGTGTGAGATCATTTCCTGGGGCTGTAAGGACATGGCTGTTCAACATCTGTTCATCATTCCTGGAGGGTTCCTTTGGAAAAGGTGCATCAGCCTGTACATTGATTTGGAGGATCTTTCCTACCTTGTCCCCTCTCCCCCACCCATGTCCCTGTGTGTGGAAACAGAATCAGAAATGTGCCCATTTTTACTGAACCTGATGGACCATTCAGCATGAGCCTGTACAGTGATTTGGAGGATTTTTCCTACCTTGTCCCCTCTCCCCCACCCATGTCCCTGCGTGTGGAACCAGAATTCAGAAATGTGCCCATTTTTACTGAACCTGATGGACCATTCAGCCTGTGAGCCACTGGGCCCTGTTTGTCTGGGGTGGAGCAGATGTGCTGAGCATCCTTAGAGAGAAGCTGGGTCACTGCAGGACAAGGCACTCCAGAGCAGCGTTTTTAGCATGTCAAGGGGCAGATGCTGCTCGAGCAGTCGTGTCCCCCTGAGCTGGTGGTTCTGTGCTGTACTTGGGTCATTCCCTCCCTCCCAGGCAGAGGGGAGTGGGCAAGTACCAAACCAAGCAGTGCAAGTTGTAATTAAGCCTCTGCTGTGTTTACATGTTTCTTAATTCGTCGTCTTTCCAATGGCTGTATTTTAAAACTTGGGTTTTTTTGGTCTCTCCAATTAAAAAGAGCCAGCCCTGGCTGTCAAATGCTGTGCACGAGTTTGTCTGATGTTTTATACTGGGTTGGGGTTTTTTCCTGTGGTATGAAGAGATTTTTCTTTTAAAAGTGCCACAGTGTGCAGCTCTCCAAACATGCTTGAGGAGTTTGTCCTTTGTGATCTTTATAAATCCTTGGTCTTTCTTTAAGCTGTGTCACTGCTTGGCAGCTTTGCTGGTGAAGGACACGTGGCTTAAAAAATTAGCAGGCTGGCTTTATTTTCTTCCATTTCTCTGATGTCAGAACTAAAATAACGTGGGAACTTTTGTACCTGCAGGAAGTTCACTGTGATCTGCTTTGTGTATCCATCTCCAGAGAGACTGTTCACAACAGCATGCACTGACAGGATGAGGGGGAAAGGCTTCAAACTGGCAGAAAATAGTTTAAATGGGATGTTAGGGAGAAATTCCTCCTGATTGTGTGGCTGCCACATCCCTGGAAGTGTCCAAAGCCAGGCTGGACAGAGCTTGGAGCAACCTGGGCTAGTGGAAAATGTCCCTGCCCAGGGCAGGGGGTGGAATGAGATGATTTTAAGGTCTCTTCCAACCCAGGTTATTCAATGATTCTAAATTTTCTGATTCTAGACAGAACTCAGGGATTCCTTCCTGCAGAAAAATATCCCTCTGCAGTACATGGAGCTGCACTAAACCCCAAACTAAACAAAGATGTACCTGTTTCTTTCTCAAGAGATAAATTGCAGATTTTCCTGCTATTAAAACCCAAGTAGCTGCAGTTGATTCGAAAAGGCTTCTTTTATTGAAAAAATAAGCAAAAGTAACAGTGTGTCAGGGGAAGGGACGTGTGGCTGCAGATCTTGTGGGGGCACATTCGTGGTGCTGTGCTTGAGCAGGTGAACATGAGAGTTGTGCTGGTGGAGGAGGAGGCGTCAGCGGGCTGGGTGGGAGCTGTGCTGCTTTAATGTGGCTTTTCCTCTTCCAGGCTCAAGACAAAATCAAATTCCTCTGTGGTAAGGAAGGAAAAACCACAAGTGAAACTTCCAGCGTGTCTGACAGAGGGAATCAAGAGTCCTGGGAGGTTCTCACCTTGTGTCAGGGGTTGGATGGACAGACGTTGCCTGGTGAAGAGCATCATGTCCTTGAGGGGCCCCCCATCTGCTTTGTGTGCCAGGTGGTGAGCCTTGATCTCAGACAGGGGGATGAAGCGCTTGGTCATCCTCACAAACTGCACATCCACCTGCCAGGGGAGGGGCAGCACAGCAGCAGGTTGGACAGGGACACAGCCTCCAGCTAGCCCATAAAATCTTTGAGGGATAAAGGTTTATAGCCGAAGCAAGTGACTGATGTGCACTAACAGCCTGGAAGCTTTGCCTTGCTGAAGGCTAAAAGAGCTTCCCAGTGTTTGTGGCAGGTGATTTGTTGGCACTGTGCACCAGCAAGGTGCATCCATGTCACAGACAATGCAAAATTTGGATCTGGGATGTAGCCAGCCCATGAACACTCCCTTCCCTACAATTTAATGTGCCTCAAAACTACTGCTTTGTTTGCTGGGCACTGACGGTGGTTCTTAGCTCACTTTCCTAACTCAGGGTTCTGCCATGCGTGGAGAACAGCTCTGCAGCCAAGATTTGAAAATTTAAGGAGATACATTTTGGCAGCCTCCTGGAAGGGATTGGGGGAAAAGCAGAGAAAACAGGATTGAATTTTCTCTTGAGAGAGAAAAAGGCAGCTAGGCCAGGACAGAAGCTTTTCAGTATGATGCAAAGAGCCTTCTCCCTTCCCTTGGCTTGCACACAGAGTGTGAACAGCTGTATTTAATAGAATACATTACCATGGACCATTTGGGGTTCTCTTTTCTGCTGGTGGAGTCATAATGAGGATCCTTCTGGTCAAACTGTGTGTGATCAGGGTATGCCTCCTTTACGATCTGAAGCAGAAGGGGAGAAGAAAGTTTCCAGTTCAAAACACCTGTCAGCAAAGGGCATGAATAATCCTGGTGAAAAATCAGCCTTGTTTCCCCTAAACTCCATTCTAAATAGTTTCCTTTACATTTCTTGGGTGGAAGAAGTGCAGAACAGCGAGTGCAGCATCACCTGCTGGAGGTCAGTGTGGGAAGAAATGCAGCAGAGGAAAACTGGGTAGCTGATGATGATCTCTGTGATCAGTTCTCCTCTTAAAGAAAAAGCTCTTCTGTGCCCTGGTTTTATTCTACTGCCTTGTGGGCTCTGCTGACTAGAATGCAGTGAGTCAGACTGGAATGAGAGTGTGGAACAACACTTGGCTTGGCTGGGAGTGCCCCGAAATGTCAGCAGGAAAAGAGCAGAGTGTGGTTCCATCCCTCTGGGGACACACGGCTGAGTCAGCCCCGCAGTGTTGAGCTGAGGTGTCCTGGTCATTCCCTGCTCTCACTGGACAACTCCTGCACTCTTTGGTGCTGAGACACAAGCGGTGAGCTGTTTGATAACCCATTATCACCTCTCCCCTCTCCCCAAAACACAGACACTCACCTTGACAAGGGCCACAATGCCAGGCTCTTTGCAGTTACTGTGGTAGAAGAAGGCCTGCTGCCCAAGTTTCATGGATCTCAGGAAATTCCTTGCCTGTCAGGAGTAAACAAGAGACTTTCAGCTCTTTCCATCAAGTTCTCAGGCTTTATTAGAAGCAGCCAAGAATAGGAAGCAACAAGAGGAGAGGTAGATGTGCTTCAGAATTACTCAGATAATGTTTCCTGCAGTTGTCATAGAGATGTTTTTGTGTTGGAATGAAATTAAGTAAAAACAAGGCTAAAGAGCAAGATCCTGTTGGTCAGAAAGTGTGTGGGAATTCAAGAGCTCAGCCACCCTTGCCCAGGAGAGTTGTCAGCAAACAACTCAGAGCAGATCACGTGTAGGGGGATAGGGAATCCTGTACAGTACAGGGATCAAACACAGCAGGGGAACACACAGAATTCCTTTGGAACAGAAAGCTGTACACTGGCAGAGGATTTGGGTAAGTACAGACTTGCTGTAAGGTATCAAAGGTTGGTGTAAGCGAAAGAAAAACTGGATGATTTGACAAAATACTCCCCAGCCTAAATCTCCCTCTGACCTAGAGGCCACTAAGCAAGAGCTGATTTCAGATCCCAAATGCCAAAACGCACCTGCATGAACAGGCAGAGTGCCCCAGGAGGAAATGCTTCAGGCACAGGAACAAGCTGTGGCAGAGCCACCTTCTGCTGCTGCTGTTTCAGTGCCCCCGTGTGCTTCCTACCTGGTAGTTCCTTACTCCATCCCAGCAGGTTGTCTGATTAGGCTGAGCTTTCAAGTCGTCAACACTGAACTGCCAAATGAAATGAAAATAAACATTCATTCAGGAGGTTTCTGAACTTTTACAGTGTCATTGTCTGCACTGAGCCTAAGCATTTGCTGCTAGCAGCTCCTTCAATTATAGCACAAACCTGACACAATTTTCATCTCCCACAGGGCCTACAGAAAAACCTTTACAAAGCAGCAGTGTAAAGGCAGAGTCTGAAACAGATGCTGCTCCTGTGACCAACAGCCAAGCATCCTGAGGGGCTGATTTCCTCTTGTGTTACATGTGTGAAACCCCAAGGTTGTCACCTTGGACAAGAACATTTTGTTTTTCTATTTCCAGGAGGACAAATGGGTTTTGAGAAGAAAAAACAATCTGAGTTGCTTGATGCTGTCCCTCAGCATCTGGGCACTAAAGCTGGGCAGGAGTGACCCTGCTGCTGTCCTCTGCTGAGTGAGGGGGTGTCAGTGCTCACCTTCACATCCACCCCCTTCTCCAGCCTGCTCTCAGGTTCTGATTTCAGCAGCCAGTGACAATATGTGATCTTGCTTTCCTCCCCAGACTCAGATTCTTTTTTCTTCCAGTTCTTCCATCCTGACTTGGAGCTCCCAGCTGGAGGTTTTGCAGACTTCTCTTCTTCCTCCTTATCCGAAGTCTCCTCCTCGGTTTTGGCAATTTTAGCATCAGGCTCTTTTTTATCTTAAAAGACATTGAGATAAAACACATTGTGTTTCAAAAAATATTTTTAGTTGTCCAAGCTGGTTTCACACATTTGACTGCAGCAGGAGTTTGGGGCACCCCAGGTGCTCAGGGTAAGGTAGCAGCATTATGCACCAGTGGTTTTGAGTATTTCTAATTTGCATCTGTAATAAGGATATTTTTCTGTGTGCAAAAATGTAGTTTAATACTCCCAGTTAGTAATAAAAAGACCTCAGGACAGACCATGTTTGCCCACATGAAGTGTAGTTGAATTTTTTAAACTAATTGCTGAGAAATCAGCTGCAGGCAGTGAAGTAGACTTGGGTGAATCTGGTGAGTAAGAGGAGCATTCACCAAGCAAACCAAACTATTTCAGTTCCTGCAGGAGATGGAAATCTTAGCTTAACCTCCACTGAGCTATCTGTTCAGAAGGGATCCTTTTTTTCTTCAGGACACAGACAAAAAAACCCCCAATTATTAAGAAGTGATTAAGGGATGAAAAGGTGGTTATTTGCTAGAGTGGATCAAGTAGATGAAGGTTTTTCATCTTGTACTTTAAACACCACATCATGCTGCCTCCAGTGCAATGTTCTTGCTTTTTGTTTTTGCAGCTGGTACCACATCAGCTTCCTGGCACTGCACTGGGTGTACTCTGACTGACCAACTCTGCTGTGCAGGACCTGAAAGCTCCACAAAAATGGGTCTGAATTCCATTTCCTAACCCCCTTGTGCTGGGAATACATCACTGTCCTTATCACACACCGAGCAGGCTGGTCTCAGTCTCGCTTGGGTGCTCAGCCCATTTGGCGCAGGAAATGCTGTCTGTAAGACACTGCCTGTGACAGACAGACGGTTAATACGGCTGTCTGTAGTTTCACTATAGCCTGGAACCTCAAATGAGAGCTGCTAAATCAGCCAGGATGTCAGCACAGACCTGCTACTGCTCCTTTGTCTCTCTTTCTGCTCGGCCAAGGCATCTCTAGTCTCTCTGAATTATCTTCACCGCGAAGCACCTGATGGACGAGAGAAGGAGGAGGAATTACTGCTC